TAGCTACAACAAGGACAAATATTTTGAAACAGAGACTCACATTCTTAATTTATGTTACTATATATATATTATAATAATATATATAATATATATATATATATATATATATATATATTATATTATATTTTAATCGTATTTTACTGCTATTATGCAAATATTGTTTGTTGTGTTTTGTCTTGTTCAAGGTTATTCAGATTTATTCCGTAAGTTTTACGTTTTTTCAGCTTGAATGAAGTTAAAGGTAAACGTCTCTCATAGAGTGTGTGCATCGTACATGCGTCCTTATGAACAGATGAAATTAACAAGAACGAAAATTACTTACATTTTAAAATAAAATTAAATGGATGGATAATAAATATTAAAATTTTTGCAAATATAATTTGAAATTACTCAAATGATTAACTGCCAAAGAGAACGTGTTGACGGCTGGTGACGCACTTAACCATTTTGACCAAGACCGTGTGAACGCTACAAGTCACATGATCGTGTACAATCTATTTTGTGGAACAGCCCTGTTCACAGAACTACCTTTCCAAGTCTTAGTTTGCAAGTGAGTTCGATTAGGTGGAGATTGAAAATACTTTTCACAAGATCAAGGATATATAATACGCACCGAGATGTGATTCTAGAAAATTAGAAAAGTTTCAGCTGGTAAAAGCGCAGAAAGTTACAAGAAGCGAGAATGGAAGAAAGTTTGGAGAAAGGAAGAGAAGAGAAGGAATTTTGTGAAGTTTTGAAACATGTGCTAAAAATTTGTAAATTGATTTAAATAAACAATCCTGAAATACGTTTTTTAAGTGAGTAAAATCTACACGACTGATGTGTCTGTGGACATGAACCTTATAATTCAAATGTAGTTTGTTGTATAAGTGGTCTTTGCTGTTTAAAGCAGTTAAAATGATTTTATAGAAACCTTTTTTTAGTTCACAGCAAATAGCGCGAATAAGGCCTGATTTATGCATCCTGTAGCCTGACAAACTTCATTAGGCGGCCACTTCAACGAATGGCCAGTTTTTTCCGGAATTAGTGACAGCCTGAAAACTGTATTTACTAGGCTGTCCGTGTGACGCCGCGTCCATGGCGAAGGCGCCGACATTTCGGTCGCCATTCTGCGACCTTCCTCAGAAAGGGACAGTAGTAAATACTGACTCCGACCGCGGATGTCTACGCTCTCGCTTGAAAACTGCTTCACTGTACTAGATAGGAAAAGGAATTTTGTTTTTTCGTATCCCAGCAGTAAATGCTGAGAGCATCAATTCGTATCACCGCAGTGCCTCTGACGGAGGTCCTAGGGTTCGGGTCCCGACACTGGCAGTATTTTCGACTCTAGCTACATAGCTAGGTCGAATACAGCTGTTGTATGGAGAAGAATTCTAGCAGCCGACTGCTTTGATCGGTCGTTTTCCATGATTTCTTCGATCAACAACATGCGATTGGTGCCACAGTACCCTAACAAACGGCCACGGACCGCGCGCGATCTTTCCATCCTCTTCCTTGTCTTATCCTCACACAGGCTTACACACTTACGTGCACTACACTATCGCCATATCTCGAAAGCCTAGTCGGGAGCTTAGCGGTCGTCTCAGATTGGGCGGTGCCGGTCTTGCGGGAGATATCTGTATTTACTAGGCTGTCCGGGTGACGCCGCGTTCATGGCGAAGGTGCCGACGGTTCGGTCGTCATTCTGCGACCTTCCTCAGGGCGTAATGCTCTGAATGCATTACGCCCTGAGGAAGGTCGCAGAATGGCGACCGAAACGTCGGCACCTTCGCCATGGACGGGGCGTCACCCGGACAACCTAGTAAATACTGACTCCGGCCGCGGAAGCCTACGCTCTCGGGAGATATCTGGTTGGGGAGAACCCCACAAGCCGACATGCTTCTTGCCATCAAGCGGGGGGAAATCACCGCCCCCGGCCAGCGATAAAATATGCACTACACTTACGGGACTGATGACTTTTGACGTTGAATCGCCCGGTAACACTAATCAATCAATTAATCCACTTTTTCCTTCCTCGCCCTGCTTCCCTTACCTTGCCTAGCCTCGCTACGCCATGCCTCTCCTGACGCTTTCGGCATGTTTGCTACGATCATCTTGAAATGGGGAACTGTAAACAGATGCATTGATTCACACTCCCGGAAAGTCCAGGAACACTTATGAAAGTGGCTCAAAGTTTAATTATGCTATCAGAAATCAAAATGCAGTTTTGTAGAAAAATTAACACGCTTTCAGAAACGGCAAATTCACTTCCTGGATTTCCTTATCATTTTTTTTGAAAAAAATCAGTAAAAATGAGAGAACACTCTTAAATGAATCAGGGTCAGGGAAGGAATATAGGAGTATTTTTCTAGAAAATCACATGTGTACTGTAATTTTTGTTTTGTTTTAATGGTTACGTGTACAGAATTTCGTTAAAATAGAAATAAAATTGTACTTCGTATGAAAAAAGAAACAAAGAACCTAAATTAAAGAGAAAATAATAATTTGAAGAAGAAATGATGTAAAACATGCAGGACCCGACAAAACACTGCACATTTTAGTGAAAGTGCAATGATTGATTGATTAGAAATTCTGGGTGCGTCAACTGCTTCACTAATCCCATAGGTGTAGTTAATGTTTTTATTTGGGCGTTGGTGGTGGACTTTCCTCACTGGTCCGTTGCCCGCTTATTAGGGTACTGCTCCGGCATTTTCCAGTCGTTTATCGGAGAAACCTCGGAAAACTGCTGATCAGAGAAGCCGGCAGTTAGAATTCTCCTCCAAACAGCAACTGAATTCGGCCTAGCACTAGAAAAAACATTCCAGTGGATTTGTGCTCTTAAGCTTCTGTTGTTCTTGGCTCTACCGCCCAATACGGGCCCTTGGGCATCGTCACACAGCAATAGATGTTGAGACATTTGTAAAGAAAGCGCACAGTTATAATTTTGCCCCGACCGGGAATCGAACCCGAGCCACGGAGGGCTATTTAAAGCGTGTATCAAGTGGAAATTATATAAGGAGTCGCCTACATAAATTGTCGTTTGGTTAATGTCACAACGTGTACGTCATAGGAACGTCACTTTTGCCGTAAAATAATATCACACGTAAGTTATGCGAAGATTAAATAATCACAAAATCGGACACAAACAATCATTAGAATAACTTTTCGCTGGTCTCGTCGTAATTCAATCCTATATAGGGTAAACTGGGTGTCCGTCTGCCCGTCCGTTCGTCCATCCGTTTGACTGTTAGTCACTCAAGGTTAGAACTTTTCCAGTCTCCTATCCGGGTTAAATGAAGTGCCTTTCAACATGTCTCGAACTACTAGAGGAGAAATTATCATTTTCTCCGGATCCCTCGAGAATACATCCTAGAAATGTCGTAAATACGCCAGTCGGGAGATTTAAGACACCTACGGGAGTGATCAATATCTCTCAACAAGAGGATTCGATTGGCACTTTTTTGAACCCGGGTCTTTCAAAACTATTATGGAAGAATTCTAGAAAAAACACGTTTCTTAGGGTTTTCAAGGAACTACTGAAGTGAAACCTGAGAATTAGTATGCCTTTCCAACATAATATGATCCTTCAGGACATGATTCAACAGAATTTCGATAGTAAACCAAATAAAACTTAGAGAAAAAAAATATTTCCATGGATACATTTTCATGGAACTCTCTTGCACTCCCTGTAGGCGAGTCAGGTAACAGAATCCTGTTCAAGATTTCTTTTTATTTTAAAACTGCGTAGTAAGAATAACAATTTTCAACAAGATAGTACTTGATAGATTGATTAGTGATTCCTGGGGCGTTAACTGTTAAGGCCATTAGTTCCATAAGTGTAGCGCATGCTTTTTATCGTGATAGGTGACGGTGATCTTCCACCACTAGATGTCGGAATGCGGTGCCGACCTACGTCGGATTGTGGGGTTTTCCTCAACCAGGTATCTCCCAACAGTGGGGCACCGCCCCGGCCGGGACAAGCACTAAGCTCCCGACTGCTCTCCTGACAAGTGCAGTAGTGTAGTGTATGTAAGTGTGTATATCATTCGACAATAAAGAAAAGGGAAAGATAGCGCACGGTCCGTGGCCCATTCATTTGGGAACTGCTCCGGCATTTGCGTGGTATTAATCGGAGAAACCACAGAAAATAACCGATCACAACAGTCGCTTTCTTGAATTCTCCTGCAAACTGCGGCTAAATTCGACGAACGATTCTCTAAAATCCTGCCACCGTCGGGACTCAAACCCTAGAACCACCCGTTCTGAGGGACTGCAGTGACATCATTGATGGCCTGAATCATTTATGCCGAAATGAAAGTACTCCCTAGCGGAGATTTGCTAAGCTATTTATCATTATTTGAAATACATTCTTGATGAGGATAATGTGATTCCGTTTCGGAACTATTACTCACCATATTTACATGTAGCATGACGTCATCCCACCACTTCCGTGAACAGCTGGTCACATCTTTAAGCGGAATTGAGGCCAGTTGTTCAGTAGCGGTGAAATACAAAAGAGCGACGGTCCTTTTAACTGTAATCGGATTAAAGGACGTCTACATCACGTCCCTCCGATTTTTTAAGAAAAGGAGGACGAAAACTTTAAAGTAAGTGCTTTTGGAGTATTTCTAATGTATATCTTTAGTCTACAATCTCAATTTGTTTGTTCTACTTCAACCCAATGACAAAATGAACAGTTGAGTTATCAAATGAACGGAGTATATATTTCTTTGGGTAAATATTTATATCCCCCCTTGCTCTCCCATAGACAGTGTGCGAGATTTCCGTGGCGCAATCCCTAGTTCGATTCTCAGTTGGGATAAAAATAGAGCTGTGGCTTTCCATTACAATCATCTCAGTTTCTACGGCTCTCTGGCGAAAAAAAGCTCAGGCAGATCAAGTAGGGTTGAGGGAATGCTTGGCATCGAAATCCGATTTCCGTCGGTTGATTGATTGATTGATTGTTTTAGTGATTCCGAGCACGTCAACTACAAGGCTCATTAGTCCCGTAAGTGTAGTGCATGTTTTTGATCGATATATGGCGGTGGCTTCACTGTGTGGCGATATCCGGCGCGGACGTACCGCGGCTAGCGGTGTTTTCCCCAACCAGGTATCTCCCACAAGCGAGCCACTGCCCTAGCCGGGACAAGCTCTAAGCTCCCGACCGGTCTCCCGGCATGTGCGCTTGTATAGTGCATGTTAGTGTGTTGTGAGTGTATATAAGGGAAGAGGTTATGACAAGGAAGAGGTAGGAAAGATCGCGCGCGGTCCGTGTCCCGTTTGTTAGAGTACTGCTTCGTCATTCGCCTGGTGTTGATCGGAGAAACCGCGGAAAACTACGGATCAGAGCAGCCGATCGCAAGCATTTTCCTCCAGACAACGGCTGAATTCGACCTAGCTATCTGGGTAGTGTCGAAAATTCTGCCGCCGTTGGGACTCGAACTCTAGGTCTTCGGGGTCTGGGGCACTGCACTGACATCAATTGATGTCCTGAGGTACCTACGTTGCTATTTTACTAGGCAATAAATTAAACATTCTACAAGAGGAATGAAATTATAACTTTAATAAATTATAATATAGTTAATAAATAAAAATGATTTTATTTTGAACTATTCAGTGAAAACTGATGGTTTTGTTAGCTTCTTGCTTGCATGTCGTGTATCATGTACTCAAATTGTTAATCTAAGAAAGGGGAAAATAAGGATCGTATTGACAGAAAATGTTTTATAACCTAAATCTGCTAGTCCCCTTTCGAAATTTTCAGAGGAGACCACGGCCTGACCGTCTCCTACATACTAACACACGCACTCTCTGAAAATGCACTTCATCATGCTCGATTCGAGAGACGTGGTACAAGATTCGTAACAGAGAAAAGTCAATCAATTCACATTTCGTAACCAACTACAATAACTACGTTTACAAAATGTCAGGGAGAACTGACGTTGCTGCGAACCAACGAAGAAACGGCAAATAAAACGAGAGTCGCTCATACTTCAGCAATCTATTGAACAAAGTTCCTAAACAAGTTTTAATAAAGTTATTTGGTCCCATTTTTTCTGAAGTGGTCAAACATTCTCCATTCTCCATACGTACTTAAATAAGCTCATTTTTTGACGAGTTAGCAATACTTAATTAAAAAAAATAAAATTTCAAAAAAAATTTTTGAACAAAAATAGTTTCGTATGCCACACATATTAAAGTTTTATCATATCCAGATGAAAGTTTGACGTTTTATCGTTTCTATATTCAATTTTGTTGTTGTTTTTAGTTTGTAAAATTGCGAATAATTCAGCGAATTTCAACAACAATTTTTTATCAGAAAAAAGTAGATGGCATGTGTTAAATATTTTACCCATACGATAAATAGAAAAATAATGTATGTGTATATACGTCGGATTTTGGACATTTTGTACGTTTTGAAACAAATTGCTCAATTTATAACTAGAAAGTCGAAAAATTAAGCTATTCAACAAGTGCTCATATACAGAATTTTTTTGCGTTTTATTTAATTCAATATAAAATCGGTTGTAATTGCAGTGGACAACTTCATGTCTGATAAAAACCACGAAGTGTAAGAGACAAAAATGTCAATACCTTTTAGTATACACCAAGAAGCAACACGTGCTTCAAAGCGTTTCAACTTCCAACGAGCATTTACTACTGTGTTTACTCCGTTATCAGACGGGGCATTGCAGTTAGCGCTCCTCTACGAAATGCTGTGTTTGCAGGTGAGTCACACGCGGTCATAGAGCTGCGTCACAGAGCGGAGGCAGGGAGTCAGCGCAGTGGATCCGAGGAGTTCGCTGGGACGGGGCCGGTCCGGAAGTGCTTCGCTGGCGCCTACGCTTCTGCAGGTAACAGCTGTGAGCGCGCGCACACTTATTTCACCAATCCATTGGTACGCGGAGAAATACCCTGACGGATGCAAATGAAGGGTATTTGTGAACAGAATGGTCACTCTCAAATTTTATATTCTTGTAACTTTCATGGAAATGCAATGGTAACTCTCGAATAAACGTGTTTATTCATAGAGTTCAGTTTTATGACCGCAACTAAAATGCACAGTGTTGTATTCTGCCTTGGGTAACCCATAGCAACTGATAAAAAACACATTCTCAACTCAACATCTCAGTTTATAATGTAGTGTGGTTTGCACTGTGTTCCTCCTTATCTTTCAAATAAGTTTTAGAATTGAAATACTCAGTTCACTATTGCCGAGATTGACTATTGCACAATCATTTTATTATTTTGCACAGTTGAAAATAATTATTGATTGTGTAATAGAAAAAATTAAGTGACTTTCCATTCTATGTCCATATTTTCTATTCTATTTCCAATCTACAACGTTTATATGCGTTTCTCGGTGCACGGAGGGACTGGTTGAATGATTACCCGACCTGTGTAGCTATAGCGAGAGGACCAGGGGATTAAAGACACTCCCGAAATAAAAAGTAATGGTGCTTTCAATTTTGTTTCATGGTCGTGTCTTTCGACAATTGAAAACATTATCTGAAGTATATTCACAGTTACCACCTAAATAAGACCTTGATTCAATATAAAGTTATTTTAAATCATGTTGGGATGAAAGGGTGTCAGTTTGTCTACAAAATGAAACGTAAGAGAATACAATCAGTTTATTCTGAAATGTTTTTTGGACATGTTCACTTGTCGAGGTTTCCCGAAATAAGGCTAGCTATTGCATTGTCTGTAAGGATCTGAAAGTCAATTTTCACCTAATTGCATTGTTCTTTGGTTTCCTGGAAGGGCTACGATAGCTACAAACTATTATCTAGCGGTCGCTTAGTTAAGGGATTGGAGATGGAAATGGTAAAGAAACTCCCGAAGAAAATCCTATCAAATGTACGAAGTTTCGTGATTTAATCTGTTGAATGAACGAATTTTATATTGTATATTTATTATATAATTATATACCTCAAAGATAAAGAGCAATTTCACGTCTCTTAGAGACGAAAAGGAGTAAATATTTTGTACCTAAGAAGGTTACGCTACTTTTTGAATACGTCTTCGATTTTCAACTTTCTTTTGACATGACATTATCGAAATCTGCTCAAAAAAATTCTGGCTTAGGCGCTGCTTCCTAGAGAGGTTACGTAAAATAACGAAGGCAAACTGAACCGTGGGTTATTCAATTCAAGCATTACGCGAAATAACCTTGAATACAGGCGGGACCAATAGCGTAGCGAAATGAGTGCAGGCCCTACCACAAAACATTTATCCGGGCTCCCTTTATAAAAATTTAGGTTAAAACGGTACACCCTTAGAGAAGCGTGGCGGCAGGGCTTAAGCTCTAACTACTGTACGTGCTCTGATAGAAATGAATAAAACTTACGGAGAGGCGATTTTCATGGTTCGCCCTTCATATGCTTTGTCCCCGTCGCATTATAACGCCAATTTACATTCAAAGGCAAGTTTTCTCGCTCGCTCACCCGGATCAAAGTCACGGCGAGGCTCGGGCCTTCGGCCCTCGCGTTAACTATAAGCATCCTCGAGTCTATCCAACGTATAATTACCAACTCACTTTTATAAGACATCACTTTTCAAGAATGCCTTCAGGATTCCAACTGCTTAGTTAACGCTGGAACGGCGCGAAGTGCCGGTTTAAACGACTTCCTTAGGTTGTACCGTATAGTACATTTCAGCCAACACAAGTAGTGTAACTACCTTAAATAATAAAACCCTAAAAATAGGCTCTTTTACCTGGACCCGCCTGCATTGCGCGCCTTGCGGGACCGCACGTTACGTCACTGTGCTGTACCACGTGGTTGGCCACAGCATACATCTTGGAAAGTGTTCGAGGTATCAGAATGCGGTTAAAGTTGTAAATGATTAGGGAAGTAGCATATTACGCAGTGTTGTTTCCAACGTTTAATATTAGTGATATGACATTTTTTTAAAAATGGAATAATCTACCTAAAGTATCTAAGGGCAATCTAAAGTTTTACACGAGAGAAATAAAATGTATTATTAATAATTGAAACCAAGGTTTAGAAAAAAATGTGTTCAAAATGTCGTTAAGAGCAAAGTATTGGAGGTTTTGCCACAAGTTGTCCGGGAAGCGAAATAGCGGCCCCTTCGCTGACGTAATAGCGTTCCACTCTGGAAATCAACTTCGTGTTTTCAAATTAAATTGCATTTCGTTTTTGGCATTTAGCGTATTTCACCTATTTTACGCAAGTTCATCGCTTTCTGATTTGGATAAAAGCATAAAAAATAATTCTGTAGTAATAACTCCCTTCGCAAGAGAATAGAATCGTGCTCGTATTGCCTAATAGGATGGATTTATTATCCAATGGAGATAATCAGGAAGATATCAAATTTAATCTTTTCTTGTATTGCGTACATGTATAAAAATGATAAATTTCGTCTTCATTTTGAGGAATAACTTTCTGACATTCTTACGATCCTCTTTCGATACTTATTTATGATTCAATTTCTACTGAAGTCTAACACTAGAAGACTGTTAGTCATTCAAGAACGTTAGCCAAATATTGCTGTATATTTTGCAAGAAGCGTCTAGAGATACAGCAAACGAGAGGTCTAGACTTTAGGAAAAAGATTTTGAGATGACAGTAAAACAATTTTAGTCTTCATATTTGGGCGTTTTATGTACTATTTCATTTTAAATAAATTCTCTTGTTTTACAAATATTCCTCATTAACATTTTAGTACTTACTGTTTTCCCACTGATAAACATATATTTAGTAAAATTGTCGTGTAAACAAACTGAAGAAATTTGATATATTTTAAATTATAGTACCTTTTTCTCAAATGTTATAATGCAGCATTTTTGGAACCAAATTGGGACTCTGCGATGAGTTAAAATAACTCTTTAAATGAGAGGAAATCATTAAACTTGTTCATTTGATAAATCAATTGATCATTCTTTTGCACATTTGCAAAGTACAGAAGGCTTGCGATTATTATAATTTGGCTCTTAAAATCGCTTAACTCGTGCGAGATATTTTTTCAGCATGGGATTCGATCTGATAAAGTTCTTATATTCATGCTAAATTCGAGCGGCCCCAGTTTCACTAAAATTCAGCGCCAATAATCCAAAGATTCTGCGAAAAAATAAAACTGGTAGGTCTATAGTGAACATAGCACGCGGCGCTCTCCACGACAGTTGAAAGTAATGTTTCCAGTGACGGTCGGGCGTTCCCAAAACGGCTTCAAATTACGCAACAGGAGAAACGCTGGCACGAATTTTCCCTAATGGTTCCGAAACTTAACTGCTTATCGGCGTAGAAAGTTTCCTGATTCGCAAAAATATTTTCCTTCTTTTTTTATTGAATATTTACGGGCGTTAACTTGTGAGGCTTTTGGAAGAAGGTTAAGAAATATACAATTTATTTTAATTGAAAGGAGAAACAAAACTTAGCTAATGCATAGTATGAAAAATATTAAATTGATTTGATTTAAGCGAGCTTTATCATTGATGAGAAAGGCTAAGGAGGGTGAAATAATTGTTTTGATAGTTTTCGTTTGATTTTGTTTTGGTGAGGGTTATGTTTTCCTAGCTGAAAATGGAGTACAGATGGTATATGGGAATAAAATTTAGTTAAAATAAAGTTGAGTTGTAGAAAATACTTTTTGATAAATAGAATGCCTAATTTGTTCATTGGGAATAAACCATTTTTCTTGACTAATAAAACTAATTTCGAGAGTTGATTCACTTGTTTCAGCATGTAGTTACGTACAGTCTGATTGTTGAACAGGAAAATCATTCCGATGGGTAATGCAAGGCATGTTTAGGTGTGGCAGGTTATTCAGAATTTACGCGAAGGAACAATCTAATTAAAGTAGAATGTCCGTGACATATTTTGAATAAAATTAGTGAAATTTCAGAGAAAAATGTACGGCTATAAATAGAATTACATTTAACGTCTAATATTAGCTCATATGATACTGTTAAGTGCAATTTTCACTAAAGAGAAAGATACTTTAAGGAGATTTTAAAAAGGACAAAAAAGTGGATGAAGAGGAGTCTGCAATCATTGAACTTCAAAAGATCATTACACAATAAAGTAGGGATTGTTAGGAATATAAAAAATGCATGTTCAGAGATAAAATATTTCAGTATGTCTGGACGGACCCTGGTCTACGCGTGGTCTATTTTTCCTCTTCCTTGTTCTATTCTGCCCTCCTCCCCCCATTACTTGTACACGCACGCACACACTTACAAACTCACATAGTTACATGCACACTACCACATATGCCGGGAGACCAATCAGGTGCTTGCTTAGAGCTTGTCCAGACTGGGGCGTGCCCCGGTGGTGGGAGAGATCTGGATAGGAAAACTCGCGAGCTGCCGTGTAGGTTGGCGTCGGATGTCTCCACCCAGCGGAAGAGGAACACCGCCACTTCCCACGTTAACATTAACACTACTACACTAACGGGACTAATGATCTTAGCAGCTGACGTGCCGGAAATTCTCATAAAATTATCAACGAAGGAGAAACCTTCCTCCGTACTCAAGCGATGGCCCTGGCGAAACTCACCTTCGCAATCGAACACGGTTGTTTTGACCCGGCTCGCTTGACACACTGTTCGCGCGACAGTTTGGTCTTTCCGCCCACAGAATCGTGAGCTTGTAGCAGTATAGTAAGTGACGCACGATGCCCCTTATACACATGTTATCGAGTTGCAACAAAATTTCAAAATGGTAATGTGGACAACGCATTTATCTGTCGCGCATCTAGTGAATGATGTCCCGCGATAGTTTATGCGCCCGTAGGCGCCACGATCGTGGGCATTTCCAATATAATTTCAGCTGCTTTCTACTTAACCAATGTCGCTGTCCGTTAACTTGACTCTTGACGGCTGTCAAATAAAACACTTGAAGTTCCAACAAAAATAAATGTATTGAAGGAAAGTTCTGGATGGCTAATCAATAGGCAAACTGTTACCTTATCCGCGTATATCATATTTCTATGTTTTCTTGAACCTCAGATTAATACCTTCGCCACTGTTTAGTCAATCTTGTAACTACTTAGAAAACACTACTGAGAATTTAAAGAAATGTTTCACTTTAAATTTCAGGACTTAATCGTCGTGCGTCTTTATCTTTCAAACTCTAGCTAGCTTCTCTCGACTGAAATTCTCCTTCATACCAACCCAAAACATTACTTATTTCTACGTTCTCTTAAGAGTTGGAGTCATACAATGTTCTGTATTTTAATTTCGCAACATTATTGTAAGGCATTGTTTCTAAAGTTACTTCGTTTTGCCACAACAATCCGTAAACAGAGGTGCCCGAAGAAAACAAGTGGCCTGAAGCAAGTAGATCCTCGAGAGCCCCTGATTTCCAAAAACGAAACAACAATTAATCTCTCCATGCAATAGCAAGACTAAGTGATTAAATTGAATTAAAAATAAATGCATTTTCATTTTGAATGAAAAAAAATGAACCCCAATTAAGTCTGGGCCTGAAGTATGTTTTCCTAGCTGCCCACTTTTTGGGCGCCCGGTTCGTAATAAGCGATAATTCGATGGCGAGTCATGCTCCTTCTGACCTCATGACAAAATTGATCAATAATTCTCTCCACGTCGGGAGAGCCACAACTAAGGACAGACTTCATAATGCTAAACAGTTAACGACGAGAAGCAGTTTTTTCGCCCAAGAATACCGAATCGTGGTTCAAATAATGTACCCCAGACATATTGTTAGTTACCGTCTTAGTTTGGGAGAAATTTAAAATATTGATTTTATTTAAAAAAGAAACTATATAGTACTGCAATGGACAGATCTTGAAAAGTTTATATTCCCCCACAGAAAAATTTTAAGACGTGAGATCTGTATTTAACACACCACTTTGCCCTAGCGATCGGTTTGAAGATTCTTTGTACAGAATACACCTTGACACGGGCAAAATGTGCACAGCCACAGTCGTGTTGAAAATTTTTGAAGACCTACAATACAAATTGTTTTCTGTGTTATACTTTGCTTACAATGATGTTCTAAGAAGGAAGTATATGGTCAGAAAGAAATAATAAAAAATTGCTATCAATTGATAAACGAGGTGCGTACAATAAGTTCACGGAATGGTGGTTTAGCATATTAATGTTAAAACTAGACCTCGAATTTTAGAGCAAAAGCTCCTTCAGGAGGTTGTGGAAAATAATTGCAGATCACGAATCGTGAAAAAATATTTACTGAAAGCATCTAATAGTGTCTAAAATGTCCTTAAAGGGCGATTGATGCATTTTTTTACCTAAAACAAGTAATTTTGAAAATTTTTCTTATTTCAACTACTCTGTTTTTTAAAATTTCTTATAGGGAAACTCAAATACTGTCCCGAATTTTTCGAATCTCAAATATATCGAGATCGAGTAAGCAGTCGACTACGCAACGAAATCACATCAAACACACCGAACATTAGGATCTACGCAAGTCCATACATAGAGGACGAATCGTCTTCGATCAGCGAGCACTTCGCCAATTGCACCCATTCCCTGTGCAGCTGTGCGGTTGACAGGTTGAGGCATATCGACTCACCTGCGTCGTCTACGCAAACAGGCGAGGAAAGAGAGAGGTCTTGCAAAAGCCTATTGTCGGAAAGGCGAACTAATAAAATACGGCCCAAGGCTTGAAGCTCTAAAAAGGAAAATAATCATTTCGAGTTTTCTTCTGAGTACGAGGAGTCGTTCTGGTCCTGTGTTGTATCAGCTGCATTGCATAGCGTACAGAGAAACCATGTTTTAAGTACACAAATAAAGTTAACAACTTTTTTATGCGCCTAAAACTTCTGTTTTCAGGCCCAATTGTGCCTATTGACAGAATTTTGTTACCCATTTTCAGTGCCTAAATCATATTCGGTGATTAAAATTCCGAGGTCTAGTTATAACATTTGGCAATATTCACCGAATCACCGTGGAAGACACGTGAATATACTTGCTCTATTTTCCTCCCATTGTTGGAATCTGCGGAAGAAGTCGTCTTTCGGCACGTGTCGGAACTGAGACGTCGCATTCTATTTAATGTTCTCCACGGTTGCAAAACGGTTCCCTTCAGAGACTCATTTCCGGATTAGAGAACAGCAAATAGTCTCTGGGAAGGAGATCCGATGAGAACGGTGGTGGAGGGAAGACTGGAATGTTCTCGGCGAGGAATTTCTGCACAACAAGCGATGTGTGGCTTGGCGCGTTATCATATTGCAGATTTAGATAGATTAGATTTATTTAGTCAAAAAAAGCAATAAAAACTTTGTCATAAGGGGAGAAGATCATCTGCGAACGTTTTCTTGAGTTTCAGAATCCCTTCCCGCCATTTTAATTATAAATAGTTAAGAGGAGTAAAAGTTTAAAAGTAAATAAATGAATAAAAATTTTAAACAAGCGCGAAATTAGCAATATTTGAAAAAATATTGGTGCGGGGGAATAGTGGCTTCACAAAACGTTTGCCAGATGTGTTCTATCAAACGACCAAGCTTCGCATAATGTTTATATCATTTATTTTCTTTTTAAATTCTGCCTTTGTGCTAAGTGGCAGAAATATGTTTTAATGAAGAATTACTTAGTTTTCGTTTTGGATTGTTTTATTAAATAATTCAATTATTTGGTGTACATGCCACTAATGTTAAACAAATTAAGAAGGTTCTGTAAATTAAAATGTCTCTCTATGGACAGACAGTTTTTTTTAACCAGATACTTTTGTTGTCGTACAAGAATCTTTTTCAGTTAATTTCTGACATACCTGAAGAAAGTAATGCCATTATTGCACTCTTAAATAAACAGATTACGAAATGAAGATGCTGTCGATAAAAAGTTTAATATTAATCTCTGTGGAGAATTTGAAATGTGACTGATGTATTATTCCGTTTTAATGGAGCATTTCTTTACTTTAGAGGGAAATGGTAATTAATGTAGATAAATTTGGAGCAATAACTGGGAACTGACGTCTCTAAACACTATCGTATGTGAAGTATCCCGTAATGGACCGCCACTCCAGAGCAATTACTACAACCCTTACTTTTAAATTTCACGCAAATTGCTGTGAACGCAGTGCCCGCGAGCTCTTGTTATCTAGTGACCTTGCTTGCCTGCGTCCTTGGCAAGCCTGCTCTAATCCGTCTGGCACCCATATAAATGGTTCAATATATAATCAATTGTATTTGCTAATGGTTTCATTAAATCTATAATTTATCCTCCATGCATGTTTTTTTTTATTTTATAGAAAAACACACTATATGTAAATCAAAACGTTAATGGGAAAGAGGACCCGGAAAGGCTCGGAAATGTAGTCGCTCTCTCGTTAGACTACGCACGACTGCTTCTTTTCCTTACACCTACTTGAAATGTTATACAAAGCTGGCTTGCTTATCAAATGAACGTTGATTCTTGTTAAGTGACCTTTATTATCTTGTGAAATTACCATATCTTTCTTGGGAGTCAGTTTTTTGGAGCGTACTTTTCAATGAATCATACCTTAGCATTTTAATTAACTGAATCGTTCAGTTCAGTTGAATAAATGAAAGAAGAATAGTTGCTTTTGTATTTATCTTTAATATTGATGCTGTTTTTTTAAATTTTCTTCCCGACAGGTCAACTGATAGTTTTAGTTCCGGTTTCTTCCATCGCTCTCCTTTAGAGTCTAAAAGTTTCAGCGCCACGAACGCCATCTGCCCAAAAGCCTCCTAAAAGGAAATTTAGGCCATAAAAACTTTTTTTCAAAATTAATTTTCAATCAACAAATTTTGGATAATCGTATTTCTTTTTGACTTGTCCAATACAGGTGAGACTAGTGGTGTACAATAGAGCATTCTTTGTCGCATTAGAAAGTTATGTGATATAACACCACAGGTACAGTTACTGTCCTTATCAACACATCTCTGCAATCACTTGAAAAACTCATAACCATACTTAAAGATCTATTTTTGATGAACAGATTTCATTTAGGGAAAAAAATGAACTTCAATATTGTAATTTCAGGAAGACACCGAAAAAATTGAACTTAATTTTTCGAAAAATCAGAAACTTAAACGAAAATGCGACCTACACAATTTGTTGAAGTCTTTTGCTCTATCCAAGTTATAAATTAACAGGAAATTTTGAGACTTGTTGAGAATTTCAAACATTTTAGGCTTCATAAAAAGTACCCCCTAAAATCAAATATATCAGTCTCAAATTAAAATGGCCACAAATCAGCCAAATGAATCGGTCCATGCATTAGTGCACATTCTGCCTAAGTTCAGCCGCTAGCATTGTTCACGGACGACGTTTTGCCGTTCCGTCACCGCGAGTCCCTACGGTCGGCTCTGTTGGCCCACGAAAATAAATTCTTTACTTTGGATATCCCGGTCGAGCACGTGGGTTATAGCAAATAGAATTAAAGAATAATTGGGGTAGAAGTAAAATAAAAATATTATTGCTAATATTACGTGTTTATTAAAATAATACCAAAGAGTTCAAAAGGGATAACCAATTACAATAGTTAGCTTCTGTATTTTATATACAGTTTTTTGAACGGACGGGGGGGGGGCTGTGTCGACACGTGTCTAAATTAAACCTCCGTCCTATCCCAGATATCGTTAAACACAAATAAGTTTTTACCAAATTACCGCAAACCAGAGCTGACGGCTACTGATAGTAACGCTTACTGACGGCATTAACGGACTCCAACTGCCTAGGAGCCGTGTGTGTCTACAGCGAGCCGCTGTCTTAAAAGAAATGCATGGAATGTCTCTTAGCTGCTGCAAACCATAGTCGGTGAAGTGTGAGAAGGATGAAATATTTTGTGTTAAATTAATTAATCGGGATCAATGATAACAGATAATGTTTTTCTTTTCAGTCGATTCCAAGAGAGAAGAAATCTCGGCAATATGGACTTTTGGACTCTTGTAGATCACAGACACGTAAGTATATAGAAAAGGACTCATATAATTTTCTTTGTTGTGATTCATCAGGTTTTATTTTTCTTTTGGGTAAAACTACTCAACACAAAAAGTTTAAAACCGTGTAATTGTTGGACGAACAAATGATTCTAAACTAATGTATCAATTTTAATTTTTAATGTAATTCAAATTTAAATGAGGTACATCGGACAGGTCATCGGAGATCACTGGACTACGGTAGCTGGCTTGGCTTAATAAAACAGCCGATTGATACAGTTTACCAAAAACCGGTTCTTAAGGTTCTAAGTCAGGATGTTTTCATGTTCAAAGGGGGTTGATGCTAGGTATTAGTACGTACTTAAAACGAGAATCGTCGATACGAGCATGGTCCAAACGTGGTGGAAAGAGAAGACTGGACTCCTCTAGTGCGCTGATTTTTGCTCGTTCTGCGCAACACCCGTTTGCGTCACGAACCTCGTGACCACAACACGGACACTTCGTTTGAAAAGCCAAAACAGTGGTTTGGCACAGTGTTGCACGGAGAGCGAGAAGTGTTGAGCTACATTCTGAAAGTGGCATTATGTGGCAACTTTCAACGTTGATCAACCAAAACTAACACAACAAAGGTGTAATTGAAATAAAAGACGCGATATTTAAAAAATAGTGCTTATCTATTTCTGTTCCAATGACTTGCAGCTGTGATAATTTTGGCATTTAAAATTACCGCTAATATTATGACGCCAACTGGTGCCTGAAGCTAATTGGCTGAAATATATACGATGCGCAAGAGCCCAGCCATCTCTTCATGGGTCCAAAAGATTTAAGTGTTTCTTTCTTATCCTCTCAATGCAACTGTCATGCTATAAATGCCTTTGCATTGGTTGGCGTTCACATTTATTTACTTATTTTAATATAAATATGTATTATCTTTTGGTTTTTAAAATGCCTAAAGATTAGGAAAAAACGTTATCTTCGAAACCTCGCAAAAAGAACTTTGTTAATGAAGAATAAAATCTTTGAGGTTTATGATTTTGTGATTTAATTTCTAATTTTTTGAAACGACTAGTGTCAGTCAAAAAACTGTGGTCAAACTTATCATCTGATATGAAGCATTTGTTTACTTAAAGTTGCATGCACTATTACCGAATCCTCTAGTTTTTATTTGTAAGGTATGTGTATTGGGAACAGTAACTTTCCGATTCACTGTAACCGAAAGTGCACCTTATCCATGGAAGAGTGTAATGTTACACAGGCACGCATACGCCCAGATTAACAGCGCCTTCCTTGCTTTCAGGGAACGCCCACGGTGAAGCCAATTGCAGACTTCCAGCCAAGACACGATGCTGAAGCGCTGCGGAAGGCAATGAAGGGCTTTGGAACCGATGATGAAGCCCTCATTAACATATTGTGTTACAGATCGAATTTTCAGAGACTGGAAATCGCCAAAATGTTCAAAACTATGTTCGGCAGGGTAAGATTTCTAACTTCCTTTAACCCTATCACCACTCTTCGTAGAAACTAACGAGTAGTGCTACAGAATTGCACAACTTTCTCGTAGTTAGTTTTCTAATGTCTTTGGTCTGGACCATTTCTATGTCTTTGGCACCATTTCTTGCCAGCTCACATCTATCGCCGCTCAAAGTACTTTTTTTAAATACTCATTTTTTTCGGTTTTCTAATGGCAGAACTGAAATATTATTTTAAAAATATTAAATAAGAGTGAAAGCTCGTTGAAAAATTCGGAATCTTTTTTTAGAAAATGTCTTTTAAAGCATTATTTGTAAAAGCGAAATTTGTTGAAGTTTCGAAAAACTTTACGAGTAAAAGTGCTTTAAAAGGCATTTGATAAATGCAATGACGTAATCAAATCGCTGGAAATGCACATATTAAAGGAGTGCGAGATATTTAAAAAAAATAAGTTTGTGCAATGGATTTCGCCCCGAGGAAGGTCGCGGTGTAACGGTCGAAACTTTGGCAACTGTGCTTAGGACGCCACATCTCCTGAACAGTCTAGTATCTATAGAGTCCGGTCGCGAAAGACCACGCGTGTACATTCATATTATCGTTCGGACTGACAGGCTGTACTGTAGTGGAAATTGTTTTTCCGTACGTTTCGTCTAAACGTGCGACAGACATCTTCGGTGGCAAAGTAGTAACGGACGAAGCACTCTCATAGGGTTACGAGCCCACCAGTAGAGTGACCAGTACTACTGAGATGATCTACCGCAGTTGCAGACGAAACGTTTCAAAGAATAATTTCCACTGGCTTATCATTCCGAAAAACTATTTCTAGGTTGATGCTGACCGTGAAAGCTTACATTGCGTCATAAAGAAATGCAGTTAAGAGTTAATTTAATTTTGACAGCCATCATAAGGTAACTTTTCTCGAGAGTCTCGGTAATTCGAATTTTAACACTCCTACTACTAATAATAACACAGGCACACAAAAATAAGATGGAAAAGATCGCTAAGGCACTACGCCTTAGCGATCTCGGACCCAAGAATCGCGGGTTAGAGACCCGCCTCGGGCATGGTGTATTGTGTTCGACCTTTCACTCCCTATCATCATCAAATCGTGTCATCCTCATAGTTACCATACCAAAGGTGAGGCAATAGTGGACGCAAATGACATAAAAGTTGATGCGATCTTAAATAACAAAAAACAAAAAAATGCCAGAGTTGAAGTTTATGGGTCCGACTAAAACCTCCGAAAACAAAAATACAATTTCATAATGTTCCTCGCGATTTAAAAAAACTGGCGGGTGGTTGCACAATTGTCATCAGCTTCGGATTCAGCGCGTCGACATACATAGGGAAAAAAGCGTCAAGTCTTTGGGTCTGAAAACTTTTTTGTGCCTGTGCAATGAATCGTAAGTAATTGATATTAAATTTAATTGCCATCATGATTGACATCATGTCGATCTGGCCGTTCGTTCCCGTAATGTTAGTGGTCCTAGTAAATAAACAAGATTTTTTGTAATTAACTTCTCAATTCTTTTTGTGCAGGGAGACGCGCATTAAATTTCATTCATTAACAAATAAACTAATGTTTAATTTACTTAAATATTTATTACAGCTTTCAAGATTAAATTGCTCAGGATTAGGAACGACAATCTTCAATAACTATCTGTATTGCAATATAATGAAAGACCCCAAACCAAACCGAAGTATTTGTAGTTAAAGCAAATGAAAGAGGGATAATTTTCCAGCAAATAAAAATTCATACATCTGACAGACTGACTGAGTGACTGAATGACGAAATCTCTGTGAAAGTGTGGTTCAAGAAGAGTGGGGGGATGTTTTATAGGGATCATCTTTCCTAAACTTCGATTTTTGCTGCTGGATAATTATGACTTTGTTCCTCCCAGAGATGTAATTAATCCATTTCTAGATGCATCATTTAGGTTTTTATACTTCAAAATATTCAAATCAAGGATACGGGAATGGAGAAATTTCCCACGAGCTTGTTCAAGTTTTACCTAGGCTGATGTCAATTGCCCCCCCCCTTCAGGAATTTTGAACGTTCTCCTGGATAAAAATAACAAATATGCACTCTGTTGAAAAAATATGCGAAGAAATAAGATTTTGGGGATTTAATTATACATTTAACAAATTGGAATAGATTTTGAACGATAAATCTTCGTAATTATCTGGAAGGTTTTGATATATTGAAATGTATCGAAATTATTGGTATTAATGAATTCTTGTCTTGAAATCGCATGCGATAAAAGTTCCTACATTGTTTAGAAGATTTTAAAGGACTGTTTAAGTCGCTGCTGTTAACGGATATTCTCCGCACAATATTAAGAATTGGGTTGACTTGTACTGTGCTCGTTTTTTCGTTCAAAAAGTAAATTAATATGGGATGTTTTTATTATTTTTGTTAATTATTTTCTCCATCCCAAATTTAGTTCGGATTACTCCAAATTTGGGATTTGCGGGGTTCGCATTACCAGGGTTCTACAATACAAACAAATCGCACACGTCAGCAGAGCAGTTGGGATCTTAGACCTTGTCACCGTTGGAGCGGTGCCCCGCGCGGGGTTGTGAAAATCCGCAAGCAGACGTACAGGTCGAAACTGAATCTCGTCTAACAGCGAGGTGGAAGATTTAGAGTTGTTTAGTAAAAAAAAGGTAAAAACTGTATGTGACGTGGGGAGAAGAACTTGGGGGGGGGAGAAGAACGAGGGGGAGAAGATCGATTTCTTTTGAGTTCCAGAATCCTTCCCATAATTTTAACAATAAATAGTTGGAAGAGAGTATAAGTTTAAAATCAATAATAAAAATTAATATTAAAAAACCGCGAGATTAGCAAAAAGTAGACATTTTCTTTTCCCGAGTTATACAAAACTTACTTGCATCGGTAAACAAATTGCAAGTATGATTTTTCTGCATTGCTAACAAAATAGTTGCTCACACTTACCTCTACTCTACCATTACAAGCAAAAGGAGAGTTCACCAAACGTGCGCATAGTGAAGCTATATTTACGTCCACAGGCAAAACAAGGGTCCATCTCAACATTTGCTTAATGGATCAGGGAAACTGGACAAAAACCTGATCGAGATGGGGTCCTTCCAGGAACACTTCCACCTTTGCACTACACTTACTGAGACGTATACTCTTACAGTTACTCTCGATGCGCAGGCAATCAACATTTTATTCATTCATTAATTCATTTACTCACTCGCTCCAATCTTTAACCAGGACCTCGTCCAGGACATCAAAAGTGAAACGAGCGGAAACTTCAGGGAGCTGCTGGTGGCGCTGCTTTCTCGTCCAACGGAGTACTACGCCCAACAGCTGCACAAGGCGGTGAAAGGATTGGGAACCGACGAGAAGTGCATTATCGAAATCATGTGCTCTCTCAACAACCAGCAAATAAGAAGCGTTCGAGAAGTCTACGAAGAATGTGAGTCTCAATGCATTCGCAAATACGTACTTCAATAAGACTGAAAGTTTTAGATTTTGGTTTGGTAATGTTTTTGAAAAGGAAATAAAAACTTACCGAAATAAGAACCGTAAAAACATTTCATATTGTATAACTTTCCTCTTTTGAACATAAAATAATTCATAAGAAATTAATTATAAATTTAAAAATAAAAATTGACAACATACTTATTGTAAATTAATAAAAAAATGTCTAAAACGTCTATCCTGAGGATATTGCTGTAATAGTAAGGACTGAGGTCTACAAGAAATAGTATCAAAACAGGTACAGCAGCAAAACCTTTTTCAAAAATTTTGGAATTTAGCAAGCAAATTGATGGAAAACTACTTGAAATGGCAACTATTTCTTAGGCAGTTTTTAAGCTTTCATAATGAATATAATTACTTTTTACCAAGTTGCACTACTTTCGATATTTAAATAGAAAAAAATGTTTCTTAAAGGCAGTGTTTGGCATGGTTAGCTATTAAACATTAAAACGTCCCTGGTCCTGCAAGATAAATGAGGTACAGGGGGAGTAATGTTGCGGGCTAATATTGTCATTTGTCTATTATTGCATAGAAAGGGGTCAATTTATTACTGCCTATAAAGGGGTAGCATGTTCGAAGACCAGGATTAATAAGCAGAATGCTTCGACAGGTCGCGGAGACTAGCGCAAGGGCTTCTGTTCCATTGGTTTGCGTACATGCAATAGTGTGCATGATTTGATATTTATATTAGCAACATAACGTAAGTGTTTGAAGAAGTTAATACTCAAGTTTGGAGATTAAATTCTTATTCAATTCAATTGAGTAAAGCTTTCACTTCTCATAACAAGAAGCAATTGACGGAAGTCAATGGCCGACTGAGACGTCACGGAGGCGCGTATAAAGACCCTATTTTGTTTGTTATTGTAATCTTGAGTAGAAAACAAAATACAAAATTAAGTTGTCCGACGGAGAGACCTGACGAGTCAGCATGTCGATCCGCTGAATTTGAATCTGAAGTCATAATTGCGCCACCACACTCCATTTCCATAGTTTTTAGGATCGTCGCCCAATTATAAAAAAACAGGACGAAGGAAAAACTCAGAACAAAACGAAAGCCTAAACATTTAATTCGGTAAAAAAAATCCCGTAAGAATTATAGTTCAGAAGTATCGTCGTTCCGGTTCTTAAAATCGTAATCTATAAAATGAGATTTTTGAAAATTCTATTAAATTATTGAAGGTTTAGCTGTTGTATGCGTGAGCAGCCTAATATCAGAGGGGGGAGATACATTTCTGGGGCTCCCTCTTCCATCAAACGTTTTAATTAGTTAGATGATTGACTGGGGAGTAAATAAAACTAACATGGAGAATGAAATTATAACTTCATTGTTGCAATTAATGAGTACAATTGATTTTATGTTGAACCATCCTTTTTTAAATTTAGATATTAGCAACAAGACATGTATTGGGGGGGGGTATAAACAATAAACTTATTTTCAAGCATTAACTTCGAAACTTGGAGGCACAGGGTTTCAACGCCTCATAAATAATTACACAAGTAACCACTCGTCGTTACACGCTTACGACAAAGGTGCAAGCTATTGCTAGGATAAAGTATTATAAACTAATAATATGTAATTAAACAATAAACAACATTTTCAAATGATGTTAATTTCTAGTATTCAAAAGCTCTCTAGAAGAAGACCTCGTTGATGATACTTCCGGATACTTCAGAAGACTTCTACGATCTCTCTGCACAGTAAGTACAATGCCCCTCATTCCTAGGGCTTCGTGGCTACCAAACACTTCTAAATTCACGAAAGAGTGAAAGAAATATTATCAATAATTGTTTGTACTTATTCATTTCATATTCTAACTTATTTTCTAGGCTAGAAGAAATGAAACTCGTGAAATTGATGTTGAAAAAGCTAAACTGGATGCAGAAAGATTGCATGAAGCAGGTACTATTTATCCTACTCATAACAGATCGTGGAATACTTTCTCAGAGAAAATAATTATTTTCTGTTCACTTGTTTTTCAGGAGAATTGCACTTGGGTACCGACGAAGCTGTATTTAACGAAATACTAGCCTCTCGAAGTTATCCTCAGCTATTGCAGATTTTTACCGAATATGAAACTCTTACTGGAAATACTATAGAAAAGGCAATTGAGAACGAATTTTCCGGATCCATCAAAGGAGCGTTGCTAGCAATTGGTAAGAGTATAATTCTAGCTGAAAATAGTCTTATAGATGCAGTCTGTTAAATACATTTCTTCACTCAAATGTTAAAACTTAATAATACTTGAAGTCAGTGAGTCATTGGCCCCAATTCTTTAATTATTGGAGTTGATATTATAACGATCTTTGAAATATTTCCACTGAAAATGATCGTATTACATTATCTCGCCCTATTGTAGGATTGCACCAAACTTTCTGGGCCCTGCATTGATTAACAGATATTCGTAAAAAATTGTATAACTGCCAAAAGTGAATTACTGAGGCATTTTGACGGATTTCTTCGAATGTTGGTGTGAAACTAATGTCGAGGTAACGTTGACCAATACACCCCTAACTATTTCTTGACATCCGCAAAGTGTGAATTACCTGGTGTGATGTTGATCGGCTGCACATTTTTGTACAACTGCCACATTTATTCCGTCAATTGATTTTTCAAATTATTCACAGGATACTTTGACAATGAGTAGTAATTTCCCCACTAACTTTATTTTTTTATTTTTCGTTTAAAACTTACATATAAAAAAGTGTATTTCATGGGAGAGGAAAAAAAATTACTAGGCAGCCGCTCCCTATTTCTCCTAACTGCGCTCCAGTTGCCAGGTAAATTAACACGTTTCAACACACAAGTTCTAGCTACACAATAGATTTGGTAAATTGAGCTCTTCAACTTTGTTAGATAAATTGAGCTCTTTTGAGCACCTGTTGACTTGGTTATACATCATTTGACACCTTAGTAGAGTGCAGAAGGGTAAAATGTATCGGCTTTTCGCCTCTCCTCTCCATCGTCGATGAAAATAATATTCTTTGCATCGATAACCGCATCGAAAGAGACTAAATTTGACTGGAAAACGTCTTTAATCCGAAAAAAATGATCATAATCATTTTTGTAGAAAATCGGCGGAACGGTTTAGCCACTAGCGTGACGGACGGACGTCAATCGATTTTTCGGTATAGAGGACCCACAAAGCATGGATTCTGGCTACGTCTCGTGATAGACTTCCCCTCTAAATTTAGCAACTGGATTTATCCACTTTTTCGTTTCCAGGGTCCTGTAATAAGAGTTTTTCTGCCGAAAATGCGTAGTTTCAAGACTTTCTCTACTGCGTAACGAGAAAGTAAAAGTGAGTTTTGGACGTACGAATGAATTGGTGGTAATAGGAGAACCGTTCCAGCTTCAAGTTAACCGAAGATTTTCGTACGAGTTACGTTCATTATTTTTTTTTTTTAGTACGAAATATGGAAACTTAATGTAGTTATTATACGCGCATGGTTTCTTGAGCCCTGAAATAGTTACCCCCACTTCTTAACTACACAAGTTGAATTAGGTCGTGTCAAAATCTACATACCAGACATGTTCGTTCCTGAAACTATTTTGCATTGAACCCCCCCCCCCCACTCCTCTCGCATCTAGCGGAATAAAGGCTCAAGAAAACCTGCATGAATGTGAAAGAATATGAGCTGAATAAAACTCTGTAATTAACTCCCAAGATGCAAGGCGGCAGTCGTCCCAGTGTTTTGTTTTCATCCCAATAGCTTTTATATGGCCGTGACTGATTAGCGATACTCGTATGGCAGTCTACTTTAGCCTAGGAGTATCGCAAAGTAATACTTCACAATCAATAGGAAGCAGTAAAGGAGTTTCCATGCTAGAGTGCTCACAGAAATTTTAACATTTTTCTTATTTTACAGTTCAGTGCGCCCGTAGCAAGATAAACTTCTACGCGGAGAGACTTTACAAGAGCATGAAAGGTCTTGGAACAGACGATAAATCATTGATTCGGTTGGTGGTAACTCACTGTGAAGTAGATATGGTGGAGATTAAAGAGTCGTTTCTCAGTCATTATGAAGAAACTCTGGAAGCATTCATTGAAGTGAGTACTATTAAAGTTGCAACATGCTACTAGAAACATAAAATGCTAACGTTTGAGAACTAAAATATTTTGTTCTGTTATCCTGCAGTAGTCGCAAGCAAAATCACGGTCCGCACGAATCTACTTTTATATTTACTTTTAATATCTTTTATCTTCAAAAATCTTGTAATATCGGTACCTTCCTATAAGAAGTAGATTGACACTATGCTTATGTTTCGGTTTGACCAGTACAGTGAGAATTAGTGGACTCCCAGCAGGGCGCGGCTATTGACGTTACATCTTTTGCTCAAAATGTTTGTTTCTCACTGTTACTGAAAATGATTTACTACATGGAAGTAAAGTGAAAGAAATGTGTAAACTTTTTTGTTCAATTTTTAATTTCGCTCTGTTTGATAAAAATTAACGAATACGTTACATAAACTTTTAATCATTTCTCCACTTCTGTCACAAAATTGTTCTTCTGATACTAACTTCTTAGTAAAATATTTTAACACTCCAGAGCCTTTTGTAAACAGGCTCCTCTTACATCTATGCCTCCTTGACGTGCCTACTTTGCCTTTACCAACTTTCGGCTACGTGCTGACTTGGTCTGCTGCGTCTACTGGCATTTCAAAATATGGCGAGAGTTCTAGAGTTAAATTGATCATTCTAGCGGTATTACTTATATTAATATTCGTGGTATTACTTATATTAATTCTTACGACAAAGAAACAGAAAATTTATTTCCAATTCTTAACAGAACCCATAAATATTTATTTAGCGTGTAGCACTTGGAGAGGAATGTACTCTCTAGTTAACGAACAAGGCACAATATCAACCTAGGTAAATATAAGGCAAATCTGACTTCAAATCAATTTATTATGACATGATTATCTGTTGCAGGATGATACCTCTGGAAACTACCGAAAGGCTTTGATTGCTTTAGTCAAAGATGAAGATGATTGAAAAATAATGTTATCGTTTGAGTTTCTTTTTTCTTGTACAAAATGTTTGCTTTTTCAAATACTGTATAAATGTGATTGTGTCTTTCTTGATTGTTAATTTTCTTAAAAAAATATGTACTCCCATCGTAGCTCGAATCATTGTTCGAGCTACGCTTGTTTATGGACAATACACAAATAAAGAATTGCATCAATCCGTAGTCATTTATCTTACAATTTGACAGAAAACAGTACATTTAAATATTAATCATTTCTTATTTTTTGTTTAAAGACGACCTTCATATCTTGTATTGAATACGATAAATTTGATACAGGTATTAATTGAAATAAACTAGTGCTACAACCGCACAATATATTCTCGTATTACTGGATACGATTACGTAATTTAATATTGCCATTTAAAGTTTTCAAATACTTTAGTGAGCACTTGAAAAATGTAAACTGTAAATGAAAAATGTAACAAACGTCAGGTTCAAAAAAATTGGTTACGCATTTCTTAAAAAATTGAAGTTCTGACACAAATTACGTTCTACCATTAGCTCGGCGCGTCTCCGGCCAAAATGTTACAGGAATGCAGTTAGCAGTAACCCATTTACAATGATCAGTCCGGCCTCGCAAAAGTCTGGATGGAAGGCTTCCCCGAGAACTAAATCAGTCGAACCGCTAGTAATCTCTTTACGATTTTGCTTCTTTCACGCCTGTTCACACGAGCGTTGCGTTAACGCACGTCACCTAACGCTGATGACAGCTGCGTCGATACCCGAGCGCACAAGTCACTTAACGCGCGTCGTAGATTGACAATATCTTACGCGAAAAGTCGAGCGCTTTGGCGACAAGTGCTGCTGCCAACGCGCGTCGCGAGTTGAAAGCTAGAAAACGCGTGTTATCTAGACTTATTACGTTGTAGCTTCCCGCCTTGCTTGAGCTGTGGGCAAACGCACGTCGCCGAAAGCGTTCGTGTGCGGTTTCTTATAAGATAGTGTTAGTCTAAGACGCTCGTTAATGCAGCTGAGGTCAACAGCTTTAGGTGGCGCGTCAATACAACGCTCGTCTGATACATGCCTTATATGGATTTTGCGGTGTATTCCGTTGACTGTCCCCAGAAAAAGTGAAATGTAGGTGCGAATTGGGCGCAGAAAACTTGGATATTTCATAGAGATATTTATTAAACAGAAATTTCTCGAATATTAACTCCCCATTATTAAAAAAATTGACGTTAAACGGAGGGGCTAATACGAGAAAATAAGAGGAAGCGAAATTAATTTCAAATATTTAATTTCTTCAAATGTGACATTTATATTAATTTCGGCATCCCAACTACAATTTTCTTAGGACATGCAGACATTGAAACATGTAGGGAAATAGTTTTTAAACAATTGTAACGAACATATGAAAGTTTTCCGAAATTATCTAAAACTGGAGGGGGGGCATATTTAAGTGAGAAGGAAAATCATTTTAATATTAATTTGAGAGAACTTAGAAATACAAACTTGATTAGATGTTTATAAATTACGAAACTCAAATTTGGGATATCTTGGACCCCCCTGTGATGCGAGATAGAAACCTTCCTTAGTACAGTTAAAAATAAGTATTTGCGCGTTTTCTTTCTTACCAGACAATTTCACTTTCGATGATGCCAAACTTAGTTGTATTTAACATGGAGTGAATAAAGAAGGGAGGAAGGGATTGTAGTTTTACCAAAAAAATTCGCCGTACCTTCAACACAGACATTCAAGGAGTATCATGAATTGGGCATGGCCAACGGGTATATGCAGTTTAATACGGTATTTTAAGAGCTCGTGTTGCGAATAAAATAACTTTGTGATTTTTTTAATTATTGAGTACACACATTGTGTATGCATGTATGGATGCATGCATGTATAATCGCTCTGCCGAAAAGGAACAAAAATGTTATCGTACAAAAGTGAAAAAAAATACTGAAAATTATGTTTAAATATATTTCAATAAAGAACCCGGCCTTCTCCCTCAAATGCACAGCATGAAAATATGCACCGGTGGGGTGGCGCTTACGATGTGTGCAAAATAAGACACACAAGTTTTTTTTTTTTTTTTGCATTCCAGTATTATAAAAGTATGAAATCCAGAATTAAACCTTTTCTGTAGCAAAAAATCGTTCATAATCGGGCATTTTACGGCACAAATTATGACGTATTAGATTTTGCCACGTATGATTGCCACATCACACATTAAGCCAATCGTAGCGACAGAATCGGGGGGAGATAGAGCTAAACGGAACAGCCGTCCACCGTTTAGTCGCACAATTTCAATTACCCGAGTTGTCACAGGGAAGTTGTTTCGCTAAGTTTGATTCTCTTATAAATGTATAACGCCGTCATGCAAAAAAATATAGTATGCAAACTGGTTTATAATGTTGCTTTATTACATTCGTACAAATTTGAAAACTCCCTTAAGTCGTTTTCAAAACATATACTCGTTCAATAAAGCTTAACATTATAAACTAATTGTATGAACTATTTTACTTTCCCTCCCTATTCCATATTACGGCAAGGAAAAGTATTGGCATCGCCTCAACAATATTATCTCGAGTTTTCGGTCGCAAAACTAGTGTTTACGAGGCTTTTGAATTGTAACTCGGCACAGTACACACGCGTCAGGACTAAAGTTGACACAGGTCTCGATTAAGTCGGGAGGATACCATATATATTGTCTATGTTAAATTTGCTATTATCGATTTAGATTTTATAAAAAATAGTTAACTAGAAAAATATATTTCGCAATCTTAGAGATAGATCCATTTTTATTATTTTTGACAATTTATTGAATCGGTTACAAAATTATTTTCTTTAGTAATTTTTCACCAAATGGTTTCAGCATTTTTGGACAAAGAATTACTTTTTTATATTTTGTATTATTGAGAACGATATTATTGAAAAATCTTTAAATACACTGAATAGTATCCCCATGTAAATTTTAATAAAATCTTAACAATATTTTCTGAGAATTATTTACGTCAATTACAAAAGAAGTAAATTTGATGAATGCCATTTTAAAAAGTCTCTATTAGCCACTTCTCTACTTGAACATTCTTGCACCGTATTCTGGAACATCTTTTTTGGCGGAAAATATCAACGCTACCAACGTATGAACAAGAGTATGTAAGAGTATCAATAACATTAACAGCTCAACATACGTCCAAAAATTACAAAAAATAGCCAAACTTGTATGCAGTGTCAAAAAAAGTGGGCATGGCTCATGCGCACTAAGAAATTTAAATAAGAATTAAAGGGACTTCCACGCGTCATAGAAGAAATATATTAATACATTTGAAAAGAGCATGATTTGAACTACTTTACGCAAAAAACAAAAATTGATAAGTTGACCCATTTCATGACACACCTTCTCTCTCCTCTTAATTGTGACAAAGGTCAAGATTAGTGCTGTCCCAAAGTTCAGGTTGATGCAATTTTGTACCCGAAAACCGGGAAATCCATACGGATGAATGTCTAGATAGACAAATGTATGGGTCAATTACAGGTCGAAGCTTTTGAGCTGAAAATGGGTAAGTACGTCAGGAGTCTAGTTGTGACGTCCCGGAGATCAATAAAATAATGTTATTTCAAGATACATTACATGTATCCCTTGTGACATTTTCAAAATATCCTGAAAAATGGCTGAAATCCCTCTCTTGAAATATTTTGCCCCAATATACAAAAATTAATTTATAAGTATATGTTCCATTTTTCACTAAAATTTTTGACATTTAAAAAATTGCAAAAATTTTTCAAAATGTTTAACCCATAAGGGTTTTCGTTTTAAAAGCTTGAGCTTTTCTAATCAAAATCTAGCGATTTATTGCTTTAATTCAAAGGTAGCGAGTCCCAATTGTCTTATAGATAGCTTGCTATTATTCATAGGTTTTCTTATACAAAAACTAAATTTTAATACAATTTTAAAATTAGTAGAGTGAACAATTATGTCCTCGTTTGTTTAGTACGTCCTTTGGTTATGGCAAGATCTTCAGGAAGGCCTTAGTCTTCAGCGAGAAAGAGTGAGCAGGTATGAAGTTAGAGGATCGAAGTCAGTGAATGTTTCAAGTTCGACAATGGAGTATTTTCAAATTCAAATATGAATATAAAATATACATATGAATATACATATATACACTCAGGTACTAATGACATTCAAACAGAACTGTTTGTGAGAAGGCTTTGTTTGAATATCATTAATTTCTGATTTAAGCTTCAGTTGAAAGTTATCTTTTGCTTTCCTGTTAAATGAATTGTTCATGACTTATCAGCTTATTCACCAGGGCCAAAGAAATATTATCCAATGATGCACGACACCACTCCATTACACCAATTTGTTTCTTAGAGAAGTTGAATCATAAAAACCGTATAAAACGTGATGTATTTTATTTTCTGAAAAATTTAATAGTAATTTCTTTTCTAATTAAATTACGTTTTTGTACCTTGGATGCCCGGTGGCCTTCGGGCTCGTGCGTTAACACGACACTGAGTGATGAAATGAGATATTGCCGATGATCGACCACGTTTCCTTATAGACTGTTCGTGTATGGGGACGTAATATCGAGTGCATTAACAGGCTCATAAATTTGGACGGGTGCGTGCGACCGATTCTTACGTACACCTGTGCCCCCACATGCTAGCGTTTGTATTCAAGTAATCAAAGGCTGTTCGTGTTGACACGCGCCACGGGTTTTAGTATAAGGAAACGAGCTTATCAGTAGGACCCGGATTTCAATAACCCAAAAGTCGGCGAAATATGCAACCATTTATGACCTAAAACTTATATAAATGTGACCTTAAAGATTAAATATGATTTTCTATGTTATAAGTTTATTTCAAAAAGTTGTTTATATTTTTCTATATAACGATAACAAATGCATACATTCCAGAACTAATTCTACTTACAGTATTGACTTTGTGCTGTATTCGAAACTAATAGCTTAATTTATACAAGTTTACTTGTGACTAAAACAACACGAAGAATGGTACAATAAAACTATCCAAACAATAAAATATTGTTTATACTACTACAAGCTACTTGTTTAAAATATTCCATTTTCTCTCAATCTTCAGTTTCTGAAGAGATCGCACCAGATAACAGGATGGACTTTCAGGATTTCCACCTTTAAAACATACTGTTGCTGCTGAGGATACTTTTGTACCAGGAAAAACTCTTCCCAGAAATCCCTCCCTGCATCAAAGAGTGTACACAAAAGTGTACTCAGGTGCACAAGAGTGTACTTAAAAGCGTGGCAGCATTAGTAAATTGCCATGTAGATGTTGCACCGGATTA